TGATACCCAGGTGGGTAAACTGAGGCCCAGGGAGGGAGGCCATTCAGTGAGCCAGTGACAAATCCAGGACTGATCCCAGGGGTCCTGAGAGTGTTTCTGCTCTGTGGCCCACGGGAGGCTTGTCCTTGGCCCCATCTTCGGCACTGGAGCATTTTAAATGGCTCATGGGCGTGACGCCATTTAGATGTCAGAGCAATGAACAAACACCTCCCAGCCCCTACCAGCAAGCCTGATTAAAGCCTGAGGGGCCCGCTGACCCACCAACGTTTCAGAACAAGTCCCCAGACTCAGGCCCAAAGTGGAGACAGCAGGCCTCTGCCCTTTCTGAGGCCCGGTGGCCATCGCCCAGCCCAGGCCACCCTGACAAGGCCCTTAGCACTACCGCTGTATCCCTGGCATACGGGGTCCCTGTATCCCTGGCAGTGTTCTGCCAGTCTGCGAGTGGGGGCAACTGCACCCAGTAAGAAATGCGGAGCACACAGAGGTGAACCAGAAAGTCCCCGCCCTCAGAAAGGAAACAATCCACATCTCCCCTCTCCTGGCCACCAGGAGGAGACAGTGCCCTGGGGAAGGGGAGCTTACCACCCTGACAGGGGCGTGGGGGCCAGGGAGCCCTCCCCAAACAAGAGGCATTAGGGCTAGAGCCCTGGACAGAGGACCAGGCTCCACACTGGCCCCTGCTCTCACCCTTAGGAAGCAGGGACCACTTTGTTGGTTGTTTTCTTCCCATTCTACACATGCCAAAGCTGAGACCTGAGAGGTTAAGAAACTTGCCGAGGTCATACAGCAAAGGTAAGGCAGTGCGACAACAGGGAGCCAGTCTAGCGGACTCCAGAGCCCTTAGGCTGCCGTTTAATAAGGCTGGGGCCCAGAGCCAGGTGACCCAGAGTCGAAGCCAGCTCTGCCTCTGTCCTGCTCAGTGGACAGAGGCAGGTTATTTCATGCTTCTGGGCCGCACTTCCTTGTCTGTAGAATTCCCTAGTGCCAGGCTGGTTGTGAGGCTTAGCCTCCGTGATGTGAGAAAGTGCCTGCCTGTCACATGGCGACCCTTTCAGTCCAGAACATTCCAGGAAAATCAGGGTCTGCAGACTCTGAGTCAGATGCCTTCCATCGGAGACACCTACCCGGGCTCTGACCATCTGGTACGACGGAGACCCATCAGGAGAATCCCAAGGGAATCTCTCACTGAGGAACCCTAGATGCCTCTTGGAACTCTCCTTTCCCACCAGTATTCTTTCTGAATAATTTTGGTATTCTTTCTGAAAAAGTCTGTCTGGTGTCGGGGAAAGCATACAGAATCTTGAATCCAGAGTCTTGACTCTTGGCATTGGCCTTGAACAAATCCCCTTCCCACTCTTTGCCTCAATTTCTCCAACTGTCAAGTAGAAATGCTACCCCTCCTACTTCAGGAAGAAGAATGGTAGGAAGAAGGAAACGAGCTTCCTGATGCAAGAGTCTTAGAGTTTTCCTGGGCTGGATATGCCAGCCTCCCTGCACTTCTCAGGAGGCAGGATTAAAGGAACTCAGGTTTATCTGGCACTCTCCCCTCTAGCCTGGGTGCATCTTGAGGCCAGAAACTGACTTGGGTTGTTCCCAGGGCTGGCAAGAAGCAGGTTTCCAGCAAGTGTTTGTTGAATGAATACCTGACCGGATGGACAGAGGGATGACGTTGCTGCCTTAAGAAATCAAATGCGCTACCCAATAGGATAGCTTCCCATCATCCTCACATCCCAAAGGACTCTGTCTCTGGCTTTCCTATTGTAGCCAACTAGAAGAAAGGTTCAAATCCTCACTGAGGAAGCCAGGTGTGGGGGGTGGTCAGGCCAAGAGGGGGCGTGGAAGGAAACTTCAAAACTTGAACACATCATGCGGTGAGGGAGGAAGTGGAGCTCTGGGAGTGACAAGGGCTGGGTGGCAGAAACCCCCCTTCCCAGGCTTGCCTCAAGCCTGGCCTGTCTGGGGAAGGCCAGGACCTAGCCGAGCCTGGCGGTAGGAACAATGTCAGGCAGGTGCCGGCCAAGCTGCGTGAAAAGCCCAGCCCGGTGTCATTGTCAGCGCTCAGCCAAGTGCAGAAAAGCAATTTACTGGTCACGCCGCCTGCTCCCCTCGGAAATTTTTAAAATTCTTCCGATTTGAGCTATCCGTGGCGTCCCAAGTTGTATGGAGAAGGGATTTTATTAAATTCCCAGCTTCCCGCTTCCTGGGGTGGCCAGCAGGGGGGAGGGGGCAGGGCGGGGCTCACCACATGGTTGGTTGGGGGGGAGCGAGGGGGAGGGCAGTGTCTGGCATTGACTGTGCTGTCTCGAAAATGTGGCTAGAGATGGGGGCTGATGACTGATGGCTGGGGAGAAGGGAGGAGCCCAGAAACTCTAATGCTAAGACTGGAGCAGTCCCCCAAAACATAGAGGTGGGGGAAGGGAAGGGCATAGGTGTGTCCATTTCCCAGCAGAACAACATACTCTCCTGGGTAGGTGAGAGTTTCCAAACCCTTCTCCACACTTAGCATGTATCACTTCAGCCTCGAAGCCACCCATCTCCCAAATGATGAAGCTAACACTCACAGGGGTCTACAAAGGAGGAAGGAGGAAGCTGGGACTTGGGTCCAGTATGCCAGATTGTAAAGCCCTGAGCCCTTCCCACCATGCAGGAAGGCCTCCCCTGGCCCCAAGGGAGCTCTCGCCACCCCTGCTAAGTGCACCCCGCCAGCGAAGTAGCTGCTCTCCCAACACCGCCTCAGCAGGCAGCGGACCTCAGCTCCCAGCAACTACCACTCCCACCCCTCATCTCTACCTCTCATGGCCACTCCACCTTTGTCCCTAAAAGCATGAGTGGGGACATAAACCTGCCGTTTCTTTATTGTTTGGGAATCATAGGTGCTTTTGAAAATCCATGGAGAGCTGAGAGTCCTCTCGAAGATGTGAGCGCATCTGAGCACCATTTTGGTGCAACGTTTCAGGGGCCTGCCTCCTCCATAAGCCCGTCCTTACATACTCTCTGGGTGCATGGACCATGGGTTAACTACATCAGCCTGATGGCAGTTCGGATGGGGAAAGGCTGCCAAGAAAGGAAGAGGGAAGAGAGCGGGGAGAGGAGGCGCCATCACCTGCTTGAAGCCCGAACCCAGGTGTCCCACCCAGCTCTTTCCTAAGAAGCTAGCTCTAGCTCTGGCCAGGAGGTGGAGGTGGGATGCAGAGTCCAGGTTCCCTCCCTCACGCTTCCCCAGAGAATACAAAGACCATACTGCAAACCCTCCTGGGCCCTGTTTTAAGGACCAAGGGGCAGCCAGCACCAGGAGGGCAACCAAGTCCACAGCCATTCCCTGCCTCCAATGCCCATTTCATCACGGCCGCATTCCCGGGTGCAGCACTTAGGGAAAAGAGCTCCCATCCAGGTAAGACAAACAGATCCCCTGGAGTGACCCTGGGACCTGCCCTCTGCTTGGAGACTCAGCTGTAAACCAGGCAGGCCACGCCTGGCACTGGCTCTCTGACACCAGCCATTCCCACCCCTGCCCCCGCCATCATAGGGTCACATCTGCTTTGGCAAACAGCCAGTTTTAAGTTACTGACTCCAGTTATATTGATTCAAGGAGTCACTGGGGACCCCGGCCTGACTAACAGGAGAAGAGAACCCATCAGTCTGTCTGTCCGTCCACCCATCCATCCATCCATCCTTATAGCCCCCCGCCCCAATTAGCTGCCCCAAGCTGTCCCTGACGCTGAGTCCTCTCCCAGGAGTGGAAGGCGAGGTAAGCAGACCCGCCACCACACCAAACACTGAGAGAGGCTGCTTGAGTCTCAGCAGCACTCAACACTCACAACACTCCTTATGCCGTAAAACTGGGAGAGCCACCATTTTCCCTGCTCGAGGGTCTTTTGGGGCACCTCTGGAACCCCAAAAGCTAAAACCTGAGCATCTTCTCTAACCCTGCAGACACCTGCCTTCAACCCAGGGGGTAAGGGGCAGATAATCTCTTTTGGCCCCTATCCAGCTCCTCCTAGGGCCCCTCCCTTGCAGCTCTAAGTGGGTGGGGGGCTAGGGCAGCTGGCACTTCCTATTCCCTTTCCCTTTGCCGCCCCCCCCCCCCCCCCATGCGGGGGCGGCCCTGGTCTGGTTCGGAGGGGGGCTGAAGTCGCCCCCCCCTTCCCAGTTTTTCTTCTCCCCCCCCCCCCCCCCCGCTTTTCCTTCATTTCCAGGGCTTTGGAAGCCAGCGCGTTCCAACTGTCTGCGTGCCAAGACCTTCCCGAGTCTGAAAGCTGCTGAAGTAACAGATCAGATTTTAGCAAGTGCTTTCCAGGCTGAGCGCCAAGCCCTCTTCTGATTCACAGGGAGCGAGCAAGCGAGCGGGGAGCAAGGCGGGGAACAAGCCGAGGGCCACACCACCTTGGGCAAGGGTGTACAGAACGTGGCCAGTTCCGTAGCGGCTTCCAGGGCAATGGCCCCTCAGTCCAATAGCCCGTCTCTGCTACCTCTCACCGAGTCTCCTAGCGCTCGCTCGCGTGCTCTCTCTCTCTCTCCCTCTCTCTCTCCTGCAAACGCCTTTGAAACCACAGAGTAATTTACAACTGAAGCTTTCTCCCTGGACTCAAAATCCATTCGGCTGAAAGGAGCTTTTTTGTTTGGAAGAGTGAGCGGAGATATTAAGGGACGGTTGGCAGGAAAAATGCCCAGGTCCCAACTCCTCGCCGATTGTGGGCAGGGGGGCTTGAAGCAGGGCACATTGCAGCGGGTGAGTCCGCTGGTTCCGGGGATCTCTTCCCAGCCGAGGCCGACAGGGGCCGCGCCAGTCTGAGCCCTGCAGCACAGCCCCTTGCCCTTGGCTGGTCCCCCGCCGGCGCAGGGCGCGCGCGGAGCCGCCCTTTGGCGCCCTGGGAACAGGTGCACTGGGCTCGGCGCCCAGTATGGGTGGGGCACAAGGAGGGGGCGCGGCCCGGGGAAGGGGGGTCGACCTGTACCGAGAGGCAGGGGCAGGGGGAGGTCAGAGTCAGGATCCCACATACCTGTACCTGGAAGCACAACAGCAGGAAGTGTAAACACCTGCGGGAGAGAGATGGAGAGGTGGTCAGTGGGACTTGAAGGAGGGGGGCGCACGGACAGACAGACCGATACGCAGGCGGAAAGTCAGACGAACGGCCGGGCGGGCAGACAGAGTCACAGGCACACGGACAGACGGCAAGGCAGGGTAGGCAGCCCCGCGCGCGGGCGCTTACAGGCAAGTGCAGGCGGAGGGCGCTGAATACATCGCTGGGCGGGGGGGAGGCGGCGGCTCCTAGCCCAGCCTGCACATGTCCGCTCCGCGCGGCCGGGACCGGGCGCCTCCGCCGCCGCCGCCGCCGCCGCCGCCGCTGCTGCTGCTCCCTCCTCGCCGGCTGCTGCTGCTGCAGACTCTGCTGCTCCGGGGCGCTCCGCGGCGCGCCCTGCGGCATCAGCGCCCCGCGCGGCTCCTCCCGAGCGCTGCGCCCTCCGGGCTGGCGCGGGGGCTACGGGGTGGCCGCCGCTGTGCAAGAGGCGCCCGGCTGGTGCGGGGAAGCTTGCTCACTGCTAGCCGTCCGTCTGTCCGGGCGTCTGCGGGAGGCTGGCTGCTCGGTTCACTCCGGGGGCAGCATGCGCGGCGGGGCTGGAAGCTGGGGCGCGCTCTCCGGCCAGGGCCCGGGGCGGTGCGGGGCCAGAGGTCAGCGCTCCAGGGCCGGGGCGCGCGGCTGCAGCAGGAACGCGTCACGGCCGCACCGTCTGGGCGCCCGCCGGCTCATGTCTCCTCCTCCGCGTCTCTCCGGCCGTGCGCATCGCCGCCTCCCACCACTGGCGGCGGCCGGGGCGTTTTCTACGCGCGGGCGGCGAGGGGGCGGGGGGCCGGGGGCGGGCCCGGGCCCGAGTCGGCACAATGAGGATGCGGGGCCCGGGGGCTCCCCCCTCGGGGCGCGGCCGGACGGGCGCTCAGCTCGGCTGGGTGCGCCGCGCCCACATCAAAGGCGGCCCAGCCTGCTTGCCTGCCTGCCGCGGCCTCTCCACTGCCTCCGCCTTCTCCTGGCGGCTCCGGGTTGGAGGGAGGCGCTCAGACTCTCGGCGACAGGACCGGCGAGGGGCAGAGCCCGCGAGGCTGGAGCTGGTGAGCGCTGGAAGCCGTCGGAGCTCTGCGCCCGGACGCAATGACCCGCGCCGCGGCGCAAATGCTGCCGGAATTGGGAAGGCTGCGGTCCCCAAGAACGCAGTTAGGTGCGGGGCGTCCTCACTCGCCCACATTCGCTACTAGCACTCACTCACACCCTTTAGCGCAGGAGTGGGGAGCCAGGAGGGGGCGGGTCAGGCCCAGCCCCCGGGGCGGCACCGCTTAAGAGGGTTCGTTTTTACCCGCCCTGTGAGTCCACGCAGGAACGTGGCGTGCCCCAGATGCCTACTCGGATGGCTGGCACTCTTAAGTGAGACCCCTTCGTATCTCTCCGTCCTTGCCCCTGCGGGAAAGGGGTCTCCAGGACTTCTCTCCCCCTCAACCCCTTCCAGGACTCTCGGGTCGCTTCTCCCGCTCCCAGCTGGGCTCCCGGGTAGACAAGCCTGCTTTGGAAACGCGCGGCTGCCACCTAGCGGCACTGAAGCGTCGCTGCAATCCCGCCCAAGAAGGCTACAGGAAGCAACCAGCAGGACTCTGGTCAGCGACCACTCCAGGCCCTCCTCCCGCCACCTGGCTGAGACTTGCTTCCGTTTGCACACTAAGCGAATTTAGTCCCTTTTTAACCAGGTCAACAAGGAGAACATCTCTTCTCACCGCCTCTCCCCGCTTCAGAGGCGTCACTCCCGTCCTTCCCACAAACTTCAGAATTGTAGGTGTTCTTGTCATGTGCAACTGCCTCACTCTCTAGTGAAGTTTCTAGTGGCAGGCTTCCTGATGCTAAGGGAAAGAGGTCATAGTGGGAAGGACACTGAAGAACAAACTCAAAAAGCAAAATTCAGAAATCCATGCTATCTGGCTAGATCCCTCCTGTGTCCTTGGCGGCAGCTGACAGCCTTCATTTCACTAGAGCATAAACTGAAGTAGCTGCTGTCAAACAGCGCTATTTCTCAGTTACGGAATACGAAATTTCAACTGTTCCAAGTATCAGTCCAAGCTGTTTTAAGTTCCTTTTAAAGCTGAGGCTCGTAAACAGGCCGCCTCTATTTCAGCATTGGACACAAGAGCAGAAAACTTTTTGAAAACTGGGTACTGGGTGATGGAAAAGGTCCCTGTGTAAAGCACTGGACTCAATTTAGACATTCTCATTGCAAGGACTGATCTTGCTATATACTATTATTAGTTACTTTTAAATGGAATGCGTATATAACTATGTTCTACGTAAAATGCTTGCAACTTTTTCCAATGTTCAGATAAAGTGTGTCTTTCAACTGCACAAATATCACCCAAGTTAAGGCTGACCCAAAAGGTCCAGTCAAGAGAACAGTCCTGAATAAGAGCATCAACTCAAAAGTCAGAAATCCTGGATTTGAATATTGCCTCCAACATTTACTTATAAATTCCAGCAAGTAACAGTCTGAGACTCTGCTTCATCTACAAACTATGGCTAAGAACAGTAACAACCCAAGAGTTGTTTCCAGTTACTGAATGAGGTCATTCAGAGTCTGGCACATAATGAAGGCTCCAATGGTTTTAGCTGTTATTAGTAATTGTAATTATGATTCTCAGATTTTCACTTATGATTTCATGAAGTAGGTAGTATCATTCTCAACTTACAGTTGAAGAGGTGTCTAACCAGAAGGTCGGGACTCCAAATTTACACCTCAAATCTAGTTTTCATACTTTTCTTACTCCATACGTGAATCTTATATGAGGTTTTCCTATCTCAATTTGACATGTTCATATAGCACTTAATATGTAATACTAATTTGGTAGTCACTTATCAATTCATTCAATCACCATTTATTGAGATCCTACTGTCAGGCCATGGGGGAAGAAAGACAAGTTCTTGTCCTGAAAAAGCCACTTCATTGGGGGCACCAGAGTGGCTCAGTCTGTTAAACATCTGACTCCTGATTTTTTGGTTCAGGTGATGCTCTCACGGTTGGTGGGATCAAGGTCCGCATCAGGCTCTACACTGCCAGGACAGAGCCTGCCTGGGATTCTCTCTCCTTCTCTGCTCCCTTCCCCAAAATAAACTTAAAAGTAATAAAAAAATAATAAGAAGCCACTTCACTTCTAGGGAAGATGGGCAATGAGCAAGTTAAGAGAGAGAAATTCTAGCTTGTTATCAGGGCTTTGAAGAAAACCAGTGGTATAGAAAACACTTCTAGGTAATACTTGGGCTAAGACACAAAGGTGGGGAGAACCAGCTATGCAAAGAAATATTCCAAGCAAAAGACGTCAAGTGCCTGCAAGCAGAAAAAGGCTAGGTGACAGGAAGGACTAAGCCAGGGGTGAGTGGCAAAAGTTGAGGGTAAAAACAGGCAAATGCTCAATCACGACTTGTAGGCTCTCAGAGGCCAATATGTACCCCAAAAGACTTTTTTTTTAAAGCCACTATTTACGTACAATTTTTAAGTGCGTAGGTTTTAAGTGTGAGTTTGGAAAATGTTTGTATGTATGTCAACACCTTTCTGGGGGTACCTGTGTGGCTGTCAGTTAAGCATCGGTCAAGCACCTCGATTTTACTTCAGGTCACATGGTCTCAAGGTTCTTGAGTTCAAGCCCCGCCCCTGCATCCAGTTCTGTGCTGGACTGTGTGAAGCCTGCTGGGATTCCCCCTCCCTGTCCCTCCTCTCAAAATATAAACAAAACAAAAACCTGAGGCATAGGCTCCCCACACCCATCACTGGTCCCAATTTAACATTTGTTGGCACTAGATTCTAGTGTAACATAAACTGAACCATGTATTATGTGCGATTTTGTGTCTGGCCTCTTGCTCTCATGTTGAGATTCATCCTCCTCCATTGTTGATCAGTTGTTCATTCTTATTGCCAAGTAGTACTCACCAGTGTGGACATGCAATTAGTCTGTCAAAGGCTTTGAAACTAAGGGTCAAAATCCATTTTTTCAAAAGGTTACTGTAGGTAATAATGAGTTGGAATGTTCCAATTGTGGCAGTGAGGGAGGCCAATGCAGGCCACTACAGTTTGGGCTACATGCCTGTGTGCTAATTCAGTTCCCAGCTGTAATAAGCCAGTAATACCCCCTTGTTGTCTTCCGCAGAACTGAAAATTTAAAGGGAGTTGAGAATGTGTATTGACTGCTAGTACAATGGGATGTTAAGTCCAACAGGACAGTTAACTGTTTTGCTTACTTATCCTAAACACTTAGAACTTTGGGACACAGTATACATTTAATTATTTTAGATTCCTCCCATCTCTTTTTCAAGAGTGAAAGTAAATTAACATCTGACATCTTTTTTCCCACTTCTCCCCAACATAAGACTGTAAAATAAAGTATTTTGGAGACAGATGGGAGAACCTCCAGCCTAAGAACCCAGGACAGAGCCTCAAGCCTTCAACAGCATCAAGTAGTTTGGTTAAGAGCAGACCCTTAACACAGATGAGCCTCAACAATTTTCTCAAAACCAGCACTTAGAACTTTCACAGCATTAAACAGGACCTCTAACTGCCAAATTCATGAGTCAGGGAGCAGCAACTGGCTCTTTGGCAAGAACTGGCTGGAAGGTAGCCTTAGACTTTCTGAAATAACATTAACCCTTTACTGTTAACTATACTGGAATTAAAAAACTCAACAAAATAAAAAATTTTAACCCCTTTATCTCCAGAGCCCAGACCACTACCTTTGATTCAGAGCATCAGTGCACGTGACCCTCAACTTTTCTTGGACAATTTCAAAAAGCCCCACACCCTAGACATTTTCTCTCCCCTCATTAAGCTAGTGGTTGTCAGCCAAAAAAGTTACAGTGAAATACCAATACAGGATTTCAGGATACTTAAAACTCAATACACTTCCAGAGGCTACCAGAACATCAACCCATTCTGAAAATTGGTAAGTGAAAAGAATAAAACATTAAAATATATTTTTCAAAGTCAGGTACAAAGGGAAACAATTAAAGTGGGGATTTTAAAAGAAATGTCTGCAGAACAGTGAATGGTACTGCTAAGAACTAAGCCATTAAACATTCATATTCAGCAGACTGGCTTAAGGAAGAGAAATAGAATTATTCCATCAAAAAGTACTAAATATAAAAAGTATTACTCCTGGCAAATCCATAAGTTCTCAAAATTAAGAACAAAGCAGCTTCTCTTACAGGTCCCTCTACTATGAATCAAAAAAGATTAGTATTAGGGACAAAGGAAAATAATTGTTTTTTTCCTATTTATCTTAGAAAACTAAAAATGTGGGGTGCCTGAGTTAAGCACCTCGTGATTTCATCTCAGGTCATGACTGAGCCCCGTATGTTGGGCTGCATGCTGGACATGGAGTCTGCTTGAGATTCTCTCTCCCCCTCTGCCTCTCTGCCCGGCTGGTGCTCTAACATAAAACTATTTTTTAAAAGCTAAATATGCTTTTAAAACTTTAGTTTTCCCAAAGTACCTCATTTGTCTTTAGCAATTAAACCAATATTGATCTAAGTACGGCCAATGTCACTTAATAATTTGCACTCCTTGAAAAGGAGGAATTTCTAGTCATAAGCCTTACCGTATTTAGTTGGCTGAGGTCTAGAACCAAGCACTATTAGTGACTTTTGAGGCACATGACATACCTGGAATCTTTACTGAAGATGGATCTGATTAGTTTTATCTTATGAGCAAGAACAGGGTACAGGGTCACCAGTAAGGCCAACCCTAAGAATGGGGAGTAGTGCTTTTGATTTTCCTGCTACATTCGTACCCATGATATAATAAACCCAAGTGTTAACTTCTACACAAAGCTACTCAAATAAACAAATCAGACCTACATTTTGGAGACGTAATGCAAAAGTACACTTCTACTTTTGAACATTTTAAGTAACTAATTACCTAATATACTCCCATATCATCACATTCTGCAATGTAAATCACTACCTAGGAAAGAAACGACAACTCTAATGTATTTAACTCATGGTAGCACTATTTTACACCAATAAGTTTTAAAAAATCATGTGTAGCTTGTTTTGGAATTCTATCAACTTAATGATCTTTTAAACATTAATATAAACATCCTTTAAGCCAAAGGCACTGTTCAGTGAAATGAAGAACAATGAACATTCACCATTTCCATTGGAGTCTCCATTAACAATGGTATAAAATGAGAAACTACAAGGATAGACCTCCTGGAGCGAGGAAA